TAGAAAAAATAGAGCATACAGATGAATGTCCATTTTGTATCTGTGTAGTCAAGGTGGTTAGGATAGATATATAGTTTCATTCTCTTAATGAATAGAATGATTTGTTCTAATGGTGTTTGTAAATAGAATCTCAAGTCCGCATCTTGTACAGCAATTAACCACTAAGAAGAATATATGCAGTGTGTTATTTGTTGAAACTGTACTTCCTATTTCATTTGAAACTGTCTCATTGCTGTTTTTCACTAAAATTTTGGAAAAAATAAAATGAAATGAAAATGAAAAAAAAATGGTACTGGAAAAACTGGCTCTCTACATGCTGAAACTAAAACTTGACCCAGGTCTACCACCATGCACTAAACTAAAGTGAAAATGGATTAAAGATCTAAACATTAAAGCAGAGACACTAAATCTCCTGGAAGAGAAAGTAGGAAGAACACTTGAAGACACAGGTGTAGGCAAAGACTTTTTGAACAGAAGTCAAATTGCATGGGAAAGATTTGAAAGAATTAACAACTGGGACCCTCTGTTACTGAGGAGTTTTATCATGTCAAAAGAAATTACCAACAAAGTGAAAAGGTAACCAACATATTTGGAAAAAAATCATGACAAATAAATATTCCGGCAAAGGTCTGCTCTCTAGAATTTATAAAGAATTAAAAAATACTAGGGCCCAAAAATTTGAAGAGCTTAACGGAACTTAGAAAAAAAGGGGTATACAGATGAAGGTGCATTTTGTATCTGTGTATTCAAAGTGGATGGGATAGATATATAGTTACATTCTGTTAATGAATAGAATGATTTGTTCTAATGATGTTTGTAAATAGGATATCAAGTCCGCATCTTGTACAGCAATTAACCACTAAGAAGAATGTATGAAATGGGATAGTTATTGAAACTGTCCTAGTGAACTGATTTGAAACGGTCTCATTGCTATCTGTTTATCAATAAAAAAATGAAAAAAATAAAAATAAATTAAAGAGCCAATCCACAAATGGGCATCCGTGATGAACACATGCTTCTCAGAGGATGAAATTAAAGAAGAGAATAATATACGAAAAAATGCTCCACATCACTACACATCTACGAAATACAAATAAACACATCATTGACATATCATCTCACCCCAGAAAAATGGCTATCATAAAGAAATCACCCAACAACAAATGTTGGAGAACCTGTGGGGAAAAAAGGAACCCTTCTCCACTGCTGGTGGAAATGTAGCCTGGTGCAACCATTATGGAAATCAGTGTGGAGACTCCTTAGAAAAGTTGGACTGGAAATCTCATTAAACCACCTATTCCTCTACCAGAAATTTTCCTGGAGGATCTGAAAACATCATATCATAGGGATATATGTGTGCCGATGTTTATGGCAGCACATTTTGTGATAGCCAAATCTTGGAAACAACCAAGATGCCCATCACCAGAAGACTGGTTGAAAAAGATGTGGTATTTTTATACAATGGAGTATTGCTCAGCTATAAAGAAAGCTAAACTCAAAGCCTTTATATTGAATTGGATGCCACTTGAACATATACTCATAAGTGAAATAAGCCAGACACACATGTATAAATATCGTATAGTTTCCCTAGTATAAGAACTCAAAAGAAGAAATACAAATAGAAAGATATAATACAAGTAAAAGAAAAGCAGCATCTCGAGGACAAACTAATCAAAAGAGGGAAAGGAGAAGAGCTAGGAAACATGACAATGTCAAGTCATACAGTTATATGCAGAAGATGGGCAAGGCAATGATCCTGAGACTCTTCAGAAGATTTTTGAATCTAGCAGTTAGTTGGAAAGACTCTCATCCTAACTAACTATATATACTGATACCTGTGAACTAAGCAACTGCACTGAAGATGGTAATCTGTAATAGAAGTTTCATGCTTGGAGTGCCTATCATTCTGGTCTTCTGAATATGGGCTTCCTGTCATGACATGCCAGTTGCTGCTGTGTGGTCTCTTCAGTAGATGACTGTTCCAAAAGAAGGGGATGGTGAATGAAAGCAAGAGAAATCAAAATAAATATTGTGGACCTGTCCTGCTTCAAAGTTGTATATGGTTAGAATTTTGGACTTATGTGTAAACAAGAGAAGTATATAAATTTTAATGCCCATTTTTTAAAATATATTCTAATTTTTAAATGTTTTTTCATCATATTTTATAGGAACTTAAAGTTCAACATATCAATACTTGATGAAAAATACCTGTTTCATGTTATATCTAAGATGTTTGATATTCAGACAGATAGTGAAGTTAAGCTTAACAGCCTAGGCTGTATGGTAATAACAATAAGCTTGTCTTCTGGATGGCTAACAACCTAAGTTTGCAGACAAAATTAGAGAAAAAGGAGGGCTGCAAGGAAAGCCAACATTTTGGCCATAGACTTCCAAAGTCACTTAAGATTCAGGACATATGAGAACTTGTATTGTAACGTCATGTAACTCAGTAGTGTCCCTAATTTTCTGATCCAGGAGATTATGGGGCCAAAGAGGAAAGTGGTCGATGATGTAGAGTGTGCCTAAGGAGAGTCACATGGAGAGAAAACATTCTCTCAGGCTTTTACAGAGAGCACATTGGCCAAGCAAAGACCGTGCCTCATCCACATGGCTGACACTGACAACGGTTCTACAATCTGAGGTACAGGATCTCAGGATAAATCCTGAGGGGATTTCACTGACCTTATCAGACTCAAAAGCTAAAACTCTTGTTGCATAGGTCCTGCTTTACCTTGACCTTAACCATCTAGCAGAAAAGTATAAAAACCAAGTATAAGAAGTAAAGCCATGCTGTTATGTTGAGCTGTAGGGGACTCAGGTCAACAATTAATGACATTGCCAGTGAAGTGGAAGACCCAATACTATTATGGACTACCGATCTCTTTTAGGATATTTTGCTGAGTTTATGTACTTATAATATTTAAATTATGGAACTTAACAAATAAAGGAGATGCACATAAATGTCCATTTTGTATCTGTTTACTCAAAGTGGTTAGGATAGATATATAGTTACAATCTCTTAATGAATAGAGGGATTTGTTCTAATGGTGCTTGTAAATAGGATATCAAGTCCACATCTTGTACAGCAATTAACCACTAAGAAGAATGTATGAAATGGGATAGTTATTGAAACTGTCCTAGCGAATTGATTTGAAACTCTCTCATTACTATTTGTTTCTCAATAAAATTATGGGGAAAAAAACATTGGAACCACTGTATCCATAACTGACATACTTGTTCTAAACAGTTGTTCTTCATGGTATTTCAAGAATGAGATTGACCAAGGGTCACAGAAAATACTGTGGCACAGTGCCAAAGAATGAGGAACTGGATAGAAGAGGCAGCAACTTCCAATCTTCAGTAAATTGAAGAGGTAGCATCTTCCAACAAACTTAAAATCAAAAAAATAGGGGCCAGGGAGATGGCTCAGTACAATAAGCACTTGCCTGGCAAGCTCAAGGGCCTGAATTGAATTTCTGGTTCCGCAAAATAAAAAGAAAAGAAAACTTGGAGTAATATCCATTTCCTTAGAGTTCTAAATACTAGCAATAAAGCAACCCAATACAAGAAATTACAACCTTCATCACAGGAATCAACCTGTAAGAAAAGGAAAAAAATGAGAAGATGCTTAAACAATATGCAGCTTTAGAGATCAGTTCACTGCAGGCAAACCAAAGGGGCAAAGAGGTAGGACAAGCCAAAAGTCACCCACCCCTCCTTTCTAAAGTAACAACAGGGGCCGGGGAGATAACTCGGTAGAATAAGTGCCTGCCTGGCAAGCGAAGGGTCCTGAGTTCAGCCCCTGCTACCACAAAAAAAAAAGCAAAGTAAAAATGAAGTAATTAAATGAAGCTCTAGAAATAATAAACTGAGAAGTAATTTCTCAGATACCTGAAAAGTGATAGTGTTCATAATGAAAACCATGCTTCCTGGCTCTAGAGCAGATGAAGACAAAGAAAAAAGAATTGAGAGATTTTAAGGAAGTTGTGGAAGCCATGAGTACTTATCATAGGAAAGAAATGGAACTTATAAGGCAGATTCAAGTCAATCTCCAGGAGGATAAACACTCCATCAGAAGCATTCACAGCAGATTAAGCCAATGTGGGCAAGGTGCTGAGATACAGAAGACAGGCTTGTGGGGAGCAACCATGAAAACAATAGCGAAGTTTTCAACAGCTAACATGGACAAAAAAGGTTCAGGCTGTTGGGTGCTGCCCTGAGTCCAATCTGGCCACTCCTCTGCCTCCTCCCCTGACTCCAGGACACTTACCTTCTTCAAATGTACAAGATACTTTCAGATACATTGTCCTTTGAGAAAATTTATGTAAAAGAAACAATGAAAAATATATGTATATGTAATGATCCTTGTATCAGGGCCAGCACGATAGCTCAGTGGACTAAGCACCTGCTTAGACAAGCACAGGGACTGAGGCTCGATCCCTCAATTACATGCCCGGCCAACCCCACCACTTGGAGCGCTGAGCCAGCCTCGAATCTGGGCATGGGAGTGCATACCTATAATCCCAGCACTGGGGATGCTGAAAACAAGAAGATCATGAGTCTGAGCTCCATAAAAAGACCCTGCAACAAAAATATATATAATCACGAAAACTTCATAAGTCATCAGACGCGTGTGCATTTCTGCTCTCTTCTGGTTATGTGATGTTAACAAACAGGAAAGCCCAGAGGGGCCAACAGGAAGCTCTCACTCCCCATCTTCCTGCCCTGCACCTGCTCCTGAGGCCCTAGCCTGCACACAATGGATCCGCAGCGCCCCCTGCTGGTCCTGGGCCTTCCAGCGGGGAGGTTTGTGTCTGGGCTCACGCTGAGGTTGCCTCACTGTGCCTTAGCACAGTAATACACGGCCGTGTCCTCGCTTCGCACGTTGCTCATTTGCAGATACAGTGTGTTCCTGCTGTTGTCTCTGGAGATGGTGAATCGGCCCTTCACGGAGTCTGCGTAGTTTATAGCACTACTATCACCACTGATGCCTGAGATCCACTCCAGCCCCTTCCCTGGAGGCTGGCGGATCCAGCTCATGTAGATGTAGCTGAAGCCACTAAATCCAGAGACTGTGCAGGAAAGTCTCAGGGACCCCCCAGGCTGCACCAAGCCTCTCCCGGACTCCACCAGCTGCACCTCAGCCTGGACACCTGCAAACAAAGAGATATCCTGCTCAGGAAACTGTCACACAGGGTCACTGTTTATTCTCATGCCACTCACACACTCAGTAGCTCTTGTTTGGCACAATTACCTTTTAAAACACCAAGAAGGAAAAGCCAGCCCGTTCTAAACTCCATGGTGAGCCGCCTGTGTTCAGTCCTGATCACCAAGTGAGAGCCCCTGAGTGTCCAGGCCTGGGCTCCTCCCCGGAGCTATAAAGTGAGGGCTCGGTGGATTTCATCAGCAGAGGAAGGCCCTATTTGCATGGACTCCTGCTATATAGAGAGCTTGAGGATGGATAATTCAGAGAGGGCATCGGACACAGCGGCTCTCAGTGTACTGCGGAAGTTCAGTAGCAATGGTAGCCTTCCCGAAGAAGTAATTCCCCATTATGTGATAGTCTTTTTTGTGTGTATAGCTCAATCTCCTTTCATGTTTGTTCATTTACTGAGATCATGGAGTTTTTATTGATGTTGCTTGCTTTGCAATGATGTAAAATAATGAAAGTGTCATAAAATGTTAGTTATCCAATGAGGTCCCATGTCTTATAAGTTTATGCCCATCATTGAGCCCTATGCTCTCCTAAGTTTTTTGTTTGTTTGATGGTACTAGGAATCGAGCTCAGGACCTTGCACTTGCCAGGCAAGCATTCACTCTACTGAGCTATCTCCCCAGCCCTCTCCTAAATTTTAAACACAATGCTTCCTAATACTGCTCCTAGACAGAGAGAGACACAGTGAATGAGATTTATGTACAGTCTTCCTCTGGTGGAAGCATATGTGACTTGGCTGAATCCTGCTGCTGGCTGAGAGAAAACAAAACCAGTGATCATGTCAGTGTCTCTTCATGTCCATCTCATTTTCAATTGTCATTATCTCTCTTATTCCTTTTCTGTTTTCATATATTGTTTATTTGGAAAAGCTTCACCAGATATGGCATAAACTGTGCACCTGAGAAGTATTAACACACAAGACACTAGCACAACCACACAACACCATAGTAGTGAACACACGTGTCATCCCACAGTGTGTCCCGCAGCTCCTCTGCGATGCTCTCTCTTCTGCTTCCCTCCTGCATCCTGGCACCAGGCAGCTCAGGACCATCCTCACACAGCTTCACATTTGCTTTCCATCCTATGAACTCTACTTCATTGTTGCTAAGAACGTGAATGAGTACACACATTTCTAAATAATATGCATATTCTTCTAAGAACTAAAATTAGAAATTCCACAAGACCCGGCTATTACCCTTCTAGGTATCTTTGACAAAAGAACTGAAAACATCACCCTACAACATTATATGCATAGCGATGTTTCTAACAACACATAGGGCCAGCGAGATAGCTCCATGGTGTGAAGCTCCTGCTGAGGCAAGCCAGGCAGGCACAGGGGACAGAGGAATAATCCCTGGCATCACATACCATAGCAATCCTGGCCTCAGAGTGGGGGGAGCCAGCCAAAAACATGTTTATAATAATGCAATTTGTAATAGCTGAACCCTGGATGGTACACTGCTATATACCATCAATGGATGAAAGTATCAAGAAAACATGGACTACTACTCAGCCATAAAGAAGGATGAGTATTAAATTATCATGGCTAGCAGATAGACTTCTGAGGTAGGGACATACACATGAGATTGGAGTTTCTGGGGATAAGTATGACATGGAGAAGAAGTTCTATATTCTGACAGGAACCCAACATTCTCCTTCTTCTAAGTCTTCTCTTGAGGTAGACCCTGTGCTCTCTCAGTGACCAGAGTGCTGCCTGCTGTCCTGGATTCCCTTGCAGGGGCTTTGTGTCTGGGCTCACACGGATGTCCCCTCACTCTTACATCTCAGGCTGGCATGTGCTATGACCTCAGTCTACATCCTCAGACATCAGGCTGTTCCTTTATAGATATAGTGCGACCTTGTCATTGTCTCTGGAGATGGTGAATCAGCCCTTCGTAGGTCCTGGACAGTATGTGCTACCACCATTGTAATTAAGGTTGTCAGCCCCTTCCCCAGAGATTGTAGACCCAGTTCATCCAGTAATCACCGGAGGTGAGCCCAGTGACTGCACAGCAGAGTCTCATGGATGCCCCAGGCTGCACTAAGTCTGCCCTCCTGGATGGCCCCAGCTGCACCTTACACCAGACACTGTAAGCCCAGAGACATCCTGCTCAGAAAACATCCCACAAAGGCACTGTTTAGCCTAAGCATATCCACTCACACTCTCAGGATTGCTTGTTCTCCATGAATTACCTTTTAAAACACCAAGAATGGAAACCCAGCTCACTTCAAACTCCATGCTGTGACACCTTTGTCCCGTCCTGATCCCCCAGAGGGCACAATTGGCTGCCAGGGCTGGGCTCCTGTGCAGAGCCGCAGGGTCTGGCTGGGCTGGTGCCCTGATACATTGTCTCCTGTACCATGAAAGCCTCAGATAGGGAGAGTAGAGCATATATGAGTGTTTCAATAGATGTCTTGTAATATTCATGATAAAAATGTGGATATGATTTTTCACTACTCATCTGTGTGGCAGAAAACACTTACTAGTTTTCTCAAAGTTATATATGTGTGTAATTAGTGGTTTTGATAATTTTCTATGTTTTGCTGATGTGCAGACAGAGCAAGGAGCACAACAGACCTGTGAGCTATGAACTCATGTGTGCTAAGAACATCTCCTGTATTTGATCTGGGAATCTGCCATTACACTAAAACTGCTCCATGAAAAATTCCAAGACACTGTGATCAAGCTTAGTGACTTTGTCAAATCTCTTCCTCCAATGACAAAACATAACATGACATTTCTGTAGTTTCAGAAACAAATAGATTCTTTCAAGCTTATGTTCGAGTCTGACATTCTCTTTTATTCTGTATCTATAACTTAGTTCTCCCATAGTAATTATATATTTTAAACATCATAACTTTAGGGCCGGGAAGATAGCTCAGTAGAATGAGTGCCTGCGTGGCAAGCGCAGGATCCTGAGTTCAATCCCCAACACAGCAAATAATAATAACAATAATAATAATAATAATAATTTTAATTATGTATAAATGCGATATATTTTCATGCAAATATACAACTCATTAAATCCCTTTTTTTTGTGGAACTGGGGATTGAACACAGGCCCTTGGACTTGCCAGGCAAGTGCTTAGTCTACTGGCTATCTCCCTGGCCACTTTAAATACTAATATAATCATTCTCAAGGTCAAGATAGCTAATGCAGCACTACACATAAATTCTCTTAGTTTTCTATAAATTGTCCTTCTCATATCCTCTTCCCTGTTCAGCTGAAACATTTTCCCCTCCATGAGACAATATTTTCTCACAATATATTTAATAGGTAAATTTTTATCGATGATGATTAGTTATTTTATTTATTTATTTTTTTTTGCAGCGAATGCCTTCAAGGCATGACTGGCTGTCTTGTGTTGTGGGGATCGAACCACAGCAACCTGAGCCTGACTGCTTTGTTGAAGCAGCCACCTAAAGAACTGAGCTAAGGGGCAGGCCCCCGATGATGATTAGTTATGATGACTGGATGTGACAAAAAAAAAAACCTTAGCTTTTTAAATAATTTTTAAGTTTTTTTTCATTTATTTGATACAGGATCTCACTAGGCAACTTGGACTCATAATGACTCTGCTGTGTCAGCCTTCCCAGTGCATAGGTTACAGGCGTGCACCACCATGTCCAGTTTCAGTTGGCGGGCATAACAGCATGGCATGTGGTACTGGGGATTAAATTTGGGTCCATGCACTTGCCAGATAGGTGCTCAGAGTGCCAAGCTATCTCCCTAGCCCCAACCTAAGTTTTTCAAATTCAGGCTTCCTCACAGTGTATGCAATTCATTCTTACCCGTCTTCTGGACCAGGGCCTCTGAATTTCAGACAAAGACTATGAAGAAATCAAGAAATATGTAATATGTAAGTGCATGCTGCATTGTATATGATCCAGTTGAACACCAGCAAAAGCCTTTACATTCTGTGCAGTTTGGAAGTTGGATACCTCATACATAAACTGGAGTGGATGCATTATGAAGCCTACTCACTTCATATAATGCTAAGACAGAAAGGAAACCTCAAAGGTTCACAAAAAACCAACTTTCTAAATTGCACATGTTCTTGTGCCCTTCCTGGAATTCTTTGGATTCCCAGGGCCATCTGCCCCCCAGAACTTTCTCATCTACTGCCCAGCACCCCCTTGTGGTCTGAGACATCAACTGTATCTTTATCCTAAGCAGCCCCTGGTGTCCCTGAACACCTCCTGAGAGTCCTGAGCACTGTCTGGAGAATTTCTTTCTGGACAAACACCAGTATTTCCTCACAGTGCTTCCTACCCAGTAGTACATGGTAGTATCCTCCATGGTCACTGAGTAAAGCTGCAGGGAGAATTGCTTCCTAGAGGTGAAGCAGCAATGCTGACTTAGCTTATCAGTGATGAGTTACCAGGTGGACCTCTGCTCTTCCCATTCCACCACCTCTACTCAATCTCCTTGTCTGGCTGCTGTTGGCTACAGCCACAAAATCATCACTAGAGAGGGCAGAAACAGACAGGACACAATGAGGGATAGGTTCTAGATGGTCTTCACTGGGCTACATCCTGACTCCTAAGACCCCACCTGAGGAAACCACAGATAATATTGAGCTCTGTTGCAGCATCCACACATTATCCTGGATAAATTCCTGTGACATTCACATATGGGAATCACCACCAGAGAGGAGGGATGAAATTGTTTTGTGTTGTTAAAAAGTAGGTCCACAAATCCCTTAAACTATCTTAACATTTGATAAAGAATCAGAATTTAATCAATGTGTGATGTGATTTAATCTGGGTGCTCCATGGAGCATTTGCAAATAGAAAACACTTGTGTATGGAAAGTCCCATGGGGGAAAGAAGAGGTCCCAAGGATAGGGCTGTGGGGCACCCCTGGGTGGAGGATGCTGACTGAGCTCTCAGAAAGCTAAGTGCTCTTTGTAGAGTCCACTGCTCCAGGCCAAGGACTGTTCACTCCAAAACAGGACACTGGGGTGGGAAAGAGCTGGGTCAGGACATGGATGTGCTCTCAGGGGAAGGGTGGCTTTGGAATATGGAAACCACCATGCAGTTCCCAGGATGACAAGGGTGAGCGTTAGCTCCACCACATGTGAATGTGTGCATGACGTAACACAGAACAGAAATT